TACATATGACATACTTGCCATAGGGTTGGGTCTGGTCACGCCTCGCGTGTTTATGTATGAGGCAAAACTCGCATATGTGGTTTTGGAGGCAAACACAGATGGAGAAAGAGCGCGACGGCGCAGGCATGAGTATGAAGAGTTGGCGGAGCAGGTTTTGACTTGCTTTTGCATGGGAAACTCAGTAGTTGGGTAAATAGTTGCTGGTGTGTTTTGCGCAGTGTGTGGGAAGAGATCACTCAAGGTGGAATGGAGAGAGCGTGAGATTGAGCAGACGGGGGTTGCAAAGGGCACCTGAGCCGGTCCCTCACACACACACACAACATGCCTTTTCACAGCACCTTGTTCTTGTGTGTGCGCGTGCAAAATCATATAAACTTTAAACTGAACTCTGAATGGATTCATTATTAAAACTGAATCCTTAAAACTTAATGTATTCACACTGACCTTTATGAATAGAAATCATGTACACTATTGGTCAAAAGTGGAATTATTATGATTTTGTAATGTTTCTGAAAGAAGTCTCTTATGTGTTCAACAAGGCTTCATTTATTTGATCAAAAATACAGCAAAAACAGTAATATTGTGAAATTTTATCACACTTTAAAATAGCCGTTTTCTATGTGAATTTATTTTAAAATGTAATTTATTCCTGTGATTGAGCATCAAATCAGTATATTAGAATGATTTCTGAAGGATCATGTGACACTGAAGACTGGAGTAATGATGCTGAAAATTCAGCTTTGATCACAGGAATAAATTATATTTTAGAATATATTCAAATAGAAAACTGTTATTTAAAATTGTGGAAGTATTTCACAATATTACTTTTTTTACTGTATTTTTACCAAATAAACAGCCTTGGTGAGCCGAAAAGATTTTCAAAAACATAAAAAACATATTTATAGCCTACTAAAATATTGGCTATTCGAACCAAATCTACTCTTAGTATTAGTATAGGCCTACTTGTTTTTTGTTTTTTAACAGCCCGCGATAATTAATACATTACAAAAACATTGTAAAAATCAAGCTACCTTATAAAGGAAAAAAGTCATCCCACTCCTCTACGTCTACTACCCCCATGCATAGTTTTTGGGGATTTATGGTCTGACATACACAGTTGTGTTCACAATTATTGTATTACCATTAAGTAATCGTCTATACTGTTTAAAATGAAAAAAATTTATATTTCAATATCCATCATTGCACCAAGTCAATACACAACATAAACTACTTCAACAGGTTATAAATGTTTCTGAGCTTGTATCACTAAAGAAGACATGCGTTAGTGCCCTGGGCCGCGCTTTGTGGTTTTGACTCAAAAGATCCAGTTCACAAGAGTCATTTGTTAATGAAGCCGACTAAACTGGCACGCTGCGTGCGCGTGCAACCATCGTGCACAGTTTATTAATATACGTGTTTTTGCCATTATTTTGCGTTACACTGTCATCGCCGCGTCTGAAAAATAGCACATGAAACACTGCTTACATTTATATTTTATTCTGTGATAATTCTGGGGTGGCAGGTGGGGTGTAGATCCGCCCGGTAGATCCGCCCCTGCGCTACAGCACTTATATTTTTGCACTGATTGGCTATTAACTGTGAGCAGACAGAGTGTCAATCAATGCATTGGAGAATACAGTGAACATAAATGAAAAGAAAAGAAGTTGCTTGTCAGGTTTTCCTAACAAGCAACCATGTTTTTTTAAAATAAGCCCAAATAACCGCAACCCGCGACCCGGGATTTTTTCACGCAACTTTACAAAAAAAGAAGCCCAAAATCGCGTATAATACGTGGACTTGGCAACTCTGGGCGTAACATTTCCGTCACACGCTTGAGGCATTCGGCCAATCACAACGCACTGGATAGCTGGCCAATCAGAGCACACCTCGCTTTTTCAGACTGATGAGCTTTGTAAAAATCGACGCGTTTCAGAAAGGCGGGGCATAGAGGAGAAACAATAATGTACAGTATGTGGAAAACAATGTGTTTTTTTAACCTTAAACCGCATAAACACATTTCATTACACCAAATACACAACATAATGTTCTTTTTAGCAACGTCATATGACCCCTTTAAGTATTCCAATTACCCATAATTATATTTTGGTCATTAGTGTATATTTACATAATTAACATTAATTTACCCTCATGTTGTTCAAAACCCATATTCTGTATTCAAAAGGAGAAGTTTTGTGTTCATGCTCCTCTATATTTTTAGTCTTCTTAAGTGATATGATAGTTCTTGAATTTGTCTCTGTTCCTCACAGAAACCAATATAGCATGCGAGTTATAAAGACTCATATTTTTGGTTCTTATTGGAACTCGACAGCCATATACTGTTGTGTAGAAGTTGAGTAAAATTTCTTCAAAATTTCACCTTTTGTGCTCCACAGAAATAATAGAAGCATGTGAGTGAGTAAATGTGTAAAATATTTCTTTAAACTGAGAGTCTTTCGACTTCAGTTTCAATTTGTGTGAAAAGCATTCCAGTCTAATGAGTTGACTGACTGAATTGTCAATGTCCTGTTAAGGTGTCGCGTTCAGCATGAGTCTCAGTCTGGGTGGTGTGGCTGAGGTGGAGATGGAGTTCAGTGACGAGGCTTTTAGCGCCTGAGTGTTGTTTGCAAGGGTGGGAATGAGTTCCTCGCTGAGGATGAGACAGAAGCCACAGTGAGGTGTGAAATCAAGAGAGGCGGCGCAAACTTCTAACCTCGCACCTAGCCTGCGTCACTGGAGCCGTGTGTGTGTGTGTGTGTGTGTGTGTGTGAATGCGTGTGCGTGAGAGAGTTTAGCATGGGATTTACCAGACTGTTTGAAATGTATACGAGTCCAGTTCGCAACCTACCATTACTGCTATATATATACAGCACAGTTCAAAAGTTTGGGGTCTGTAGGATTTCTTTTAAAGAAATTAATATTTTTATTCTGCAAGGACAGATTGAATTGATCAAAAATGACTAAATTTATAATGTTACAAAAGATTTCTATTTAAAATAAATGTTCTTGCTATTTATCAAAGCAAAAATATTGCGTTTTCCACAAATATTTTAAGCAGCACAACTGTTTTCAACATTGATAATAATCAGAAACGTTTCTTGAGCACTAAATCAGCATATTAGAATGATTTCTGAAGGATCATGTGACACTGAAGACTGGAGTAATGATGCTGAAAATTCAGCTTTGCATCACAGAAATAAATTACATTTTAATATAAATTCACACAGAAAAGAGTTATTTTAAATTGTAATAATATTTCACTTTTTAATATTTTTCAAATAAATGCAGCCTTGATGAACTTAAATACTTTTAAAAATCATTCATTTAAACATTTAAAAACCCCTAAATCAGCATATTAGAATGATTTCTGAAGGATCATGTGACACTGAAGACTGGAGTAATGATGCTGAAAATTCAGCTTTGCATCACAGAAATAAATTACATTTTAATATAAATTCACACAGAAAAGAGTTATTTTAAATTGTAATAATATTTCACTTTTTAATATTTTTCAAATAAATGCAGCCTTGATGAACTTAAATACTTTTAAAAATCATTCATTTAAACATTTAAAAACCCCAAACATTTGAACGGTATTGTGTGTGTGTGTGTGTGTGTGTGTGTATTAATATATTAGAATAATATATTAATAGAATTAATATAATAATAGAATTAGTAAACACATGTAAATTGGCTGCATGTACATTTTATACAAAGCTGAAATTTTAGTGAATATTTTTTGTTATTTTTATTTATTGTTAATTGATACGTTAGATCATATAGTCAAGGAAAAACAAGTATGTGGCATATATGTGAACTTGTGAAATATTAGAATATTTATCATACCTTTACCATAAATAACACAATTTGAGTAGTTATTTCATAGTTTTGATGACGTCTCTGTTACACTAAAATGTGAAAAATAATGAAATGATTATAAAAAAGAATAATAAAGTATAAACAGTATTAAAGTTATTTAGAATGTATATTCTGCCTGTATTATACGACGATGCATAATAAGAGATTTTATTATCTAACACTTGATTTAACGTCTTGCTGATTAATTGATTTACTTACTGTCATAATTTTTTATTACATATTAATGTGTTTTTTCTGTCACCTTTTTCCAGGCTTGCAATTGTAATGAGTACTTGAAGCTGTCCAGAGAGGATATGACCCGCATGATGAAAGAGAGAGGTTGCCACTTCTTTTCCATTTGTCTCCCATGTCAATACAACACATATTTAAATGTATATTTTAAAATGTATTTACAGATTTAATACAGATTTTCCACCAATAATTTGATTAATTAATTTCCATTTTAATTAGCATTTAGTTTGAACAGTATTTTGTCTAAGTCCTTGGCTTTTGTCAGCAGCATCATTTAACATAAGAAGTGAAAAGTTGCATAAAGCTGCCTTCTTCCTTGCTTCTAATTGCTTTTTCTTTCTCTTAAAAGGTCTCCTTCAAGACATCGTATCTAAGCGGAATGACTGCGAGTCACAGGATGAAACACAAGCAGAATACAATAGCTGGAGGCCCCCAGAGGGCCCAGAGTTCACCCCTCACTGCCGCTGGGCCCCACGCACCGCCCTGGACCCCCAGACCTTCAAATTCCCCAGCGGGGCCGAAGTTCAGCTGGAGACCGTGCCCTCAGGCCTCCTGCCCCGGATTCCAGTGTACTTCATCTGCACCGGCTGTGGAAAGGTGTTCTGGGAGGGGACCCACTATGACCGGGTGCTGTCGCAGTTCCAAGAGGTCTTGCACGTCAGTGAAGACGCAGCAACAAAAGCTTGAGATCGACCAAATTCCAGGTGTGATGAACTATTGCTGTTGCATTGCTTTTTTTTCACGCCTCTGATTTTTTAAAAATTCGTTTTATGGAGGTATTTTTATTTGCTACACTGTGTCATAGTAACTGTGCAAAAACCTTTTGGAAGCTTTAATTGTGTTTTGCACGGCAAATGATCCTGTGTACATTTGTTTTACACAATATTATAATATATTTGATGCCATAAAATGTTTACAAACCTCCTGAAATTGTTCATAAATCATAAGTGTTTTTAATAACACTTAATGAAAAGATTAGTCACAAATTGTTATTAAAAACAGGATTTATATTGGAGCGACCCCACAAAATGACACAAGACTTTCATTTTCATTTTTGCACAATATCTTGTTTAGACATTTGTTACTCTGTTGTTGTTTTTTTACTTGAGATCTAAATTTGTTTTACACATTATAATATACTTAATGTTATAACGTTCACAAACCTCCTAAAATTGTTCATGAATCATAAGTGTTAACTGTTTTAACAAACACTTTATGAAAAGATTAGTCATAAAATTTTTTTTTACTTGAGATCTAAATTTGTTTTACACATTATAATATACTTAATGTTATAACCTTCACAAACCTCCTAAAATTGTTCATGAATCATAAGTGTTAACTGTTTTAACAAACACTTTATGAAAAGATTAGTCATAAAACAGTTATGTCATGTTTCATAAATTAGTCATGTTATTAAAAACAGGATTTACATTCATTTAACCCCACAAAATGACACATTTTATTAATTTCACTTTTTTTTTTTTTTTTTACTTAAGATCTAAATTTGTTTTTGCACAAAATCTTTAGTAATTTTTTACTATATATTTTTACTATAAAAAAGCCTTTTTAAGATCTAAATTTGTTTTACACAATATAATAATATATTTAATGCCATAAATTGTTTACAAACCTGTGAAGTGTTTTAAATAACACTTTATGAACAGATTCACTACAAATTTAAAACAGGATATACGTTGGATTAATCCCACAATTGTTTTGCGCGACATCTTTAGCCATTTTTTACTCTATTTGTTTTTCTAAAAGATCTATCATAATATTTTGCATGTTATCTCTCTTGCAGCTATCTCTAAAAACCAAAAAAAAAAAAAATTTTATTTTCTCAACTTCCTTTTTTCAGATCGAACGTTGTTTATGTTTAGTCTTTAAGTCATATCTCCATTTGTAAATCTGTCAAAACTACAAAAAAACATGCTTGGGTTCCCCAAAGACAGCACTGCTGAATTCACGCCAGACACTATTTTCGTTCCAAGTTTTTGAGGACGGTTTGCAAGTTCATAACAGGATGGGCTGCATACAGTCAGTCCTCAACGCTGCCCTTCTGAGTTCAATAAAGCCACGCTCAAACAGAGCCGTGTCCTCTTTTAAATGTGTGCTCCCTGAATATAAGTATCAAAGTGTTGACTGTAACCGTAGCTCTGCGTGTTTGCATTTGCTGGAGATAATCTTGTCTGCTTGCAGTAGGAGCTCTACCTAGCCCTGTTCAGGCCGCCCCGGCTCTTCTGCGCTTCTGTTATTCGATACTGGCTCGTTCTTTGCTGGGAAGAAAAGCTCGCCTCTTTCCCACGCTCCTTGAACACGTGGTACTAGGGCTGAATTGGACTCTGAAGGCCCTCCCTCTATTTAGACGTCATGCTAGTCCCGCAGAATCCCCAGCCAGTGACTCAGGGGCCTCTGCCTGCTCTCTTTCCCCCCACCTCTCCACTGTCTGGCTCAGGCGCAGGGCAGGCTGGCTGATCTTTGAAGATCTCCCCCTTCGTGCCTGGTTTCAGGCGGAATGCCTCGCAGGGCTACGAAACACCAAATATTTTCTGAACCGTGCTTGGTGGAGGTTTAAACAATCCAGGGTTAATCTGAAAGCATTCGGAGATTTAGATGCCACTGAGATCGACCTTCCAGCTTTTATGACACGTATTAATCTTAAATAACACGCGTGTGTTGACGTTGGGAGGAGTTTTTAGCTCACTCGCTCGCTCGCTCTCACTGGCTTGGGTTTCTGATGAATGTGACCCGGGCCCAGGTGGAATATGGGACACTTCCTGTTATGTACTGTACTTCTGAAATGGCTCGCAGGATATTCTCAGCGTCGGGTCGATTAGCACCTCGCTGGCGTCCCATTATATCCTGTTGCTTTGATGTCAGCTGTGAACTGTGATACTTAAAGGTGACTTATCATGAAAATCTGACTTTTCCAGGTTTTACGTGCTATAATCAGGTCCCCGGTGCATCTACCAACCAAGGAAACGTGAAAAAGATTAACCCAATC